ATATCGCCACTCCCAGCAGAAGAAATAGAGACCCTAACCTCCACAGTACCTAAAGGTCCATCTCCTGAGAATATCCTTGAAGCGCATGAGAACATTCCTGAGGTAAACTCTCCTGCTACACCTTCAAGCTCTAACGATATGAATACTTCTGCTGGTTACACTTTACCTTTCAGGCATAATCGTGGCAAACCGCCAAATAGATATTCTCCACATATTGAGGATCGGAAGTCAAAGTATCCAATTGCCAATTATGTATCAACAAAGAGACTCTCCAAACCTCTCAAAACATTTGTGCAAGAATTGTCCTCAAATCATATTCCCACCAGTGTTCAAGAAGCTTTGACAAACCCGAAATGGACTCAGGCCATACAGGAAGAAATGGAGGCACTATTGAAGAACAAAACATGGACTCTTGTTACCTTGTCCGAAGGGAAAAGACCTGTAGGGTGTAAGTGGGTATTTTCCATTAAATACAAGAAGGATGGGTCGATCGAGAGATACAAAGCGAGGCTGGTCGCGAAAGGTTATACTCAGACACATGGCATAGATTATCAAGAGACCTTCTCACCAGTGGCCAAGTTGAATACAGTTAAAGTTTTATTATCTCTTGCAGCGAACCTTGATTGGCCACTGCACTAGTTTGACGTAAAGAACGCCTTACTCCATGGTGATCTTGAAGATGAGGTATACATGGACATCCCACCTGGTTATACAGTGAATTCCAAGACCAAAGTTGTGTGTAAGCTACAACGAGCACTATATGGACTGAAACAATCACCGTGGGCATGGTTTGGGCGGTTTAGTCTTGCGATGAAGAAATATGGCTTTCAACAAAGCAATTCAGACCATACACTATTTCTAAAGCACCAACGAGGGTAGGTAACAACCTTAATAATATATGTAGATGACATGATTATCACAGGGAATGATTCAGGAGAAATAACAACACTTCAAAAACAATTGACAACTGAGTTTGAAATGAAGAACTTGGGAGGGCTCAAATATTTTCTAGGAATTGAAGTTGCTAGATCAAGGAAAGGTATATTTCTATCTCAACGGAAATACACCTTAGATTTACTATTCGAAGTGGGACAGTTGGAGTGCAAGCCGGCAGACACACCAATTATTCAAACCCATAAACTTGGAGAATACCCAGACCAAGTACCTACCAATAAGGAGAGATATCAAAGGCTGGTTGGTAAACTTATTTACCTCTCACATACTCGTCCAGACATTGCTTACGCTGTCAGCGTAGTGAGTCAGTTCATGCATTGCCCAAGCGAAGATCACATGAGTGTTGTAATGCGAATTCTTCGATACTTGAAGTCCTCTCCTGAAAAAAGGACTTATGTTCTAAAAAAATAATCATCTAAAGATTGAAGGCTATATAGATGTAGATTGGGCCGAAAATATCTCGGATAGAAAATCCACCTTGGGGTACTTTACATTTATCGGTGGGAATCTTGTCACATGGTTAAAGGACTTTGTGAGCTTCTCTGGCTTAGAAGATTAATGACTGAAATCGGTTTCCCCCCAACCTCTGAGATGGACCTATTCTGTGATAACAATGCTGTCATAGATATCTCTCAGAATCCCATCCAACATGATCGAACAAAGCATGTGGAGGTGGACCGGCATTTCATTAAACAAAATATCGAAGATAAAATCATTTGATTTCCTTTTGTCAAGTCTAAAGACCAGCTGGCGGATATACTTACAAAAATTGTATCCAGAAAAAACTTCTACAGCTCACTTGGTAAGTTGGGCATCCAATAATTGCACGCACCAACGTGAGGGGGAGTATTGGCGTGAGCTGTCAAACTAGGAGAATATCTCTTAATTCCAAGGACAATTCTTATTTGTAGATAGTGATCCCTTAAGCCAAGGGATAATTCTTATCATAGTAGTTTGTGTATAACTAGGAAAGGTGGAACAAGGCTTGTATATATAAACTCATTCCTTGTAAAGAAAAAACAACAAGAAAAAGGAAGAATAAGATCTTTCCTTCTACTCGAGTTATCAACTCCTTCATAGAGAGATTTCAGAGTAGTTGACTACAATGTACAATAGAGCTTGGGAATAACCTAGAACCAGCGAATATCCACCAGCATAGAGATAAATAATAGTTTAAATAATGGAAAATAAAAGGGACAAACAATCACAAGAAACAAAAGATTTACACGGTTCACCCAATGAGGGCAACATCCATGGACAAAGCCAGTAAAGCCATTGGTTCACTGTCAATAAAAGAGATACAAGAGATTTGTGTACAACACCTCTCTACCACTGTTGTGAAATACCCCACAACTACAAACCCCTTTTGAAAACTTAAAATAAAGAGTATCCTCACCTCCACAACGTCACCATAAATTTGAAAAAACACTATGAAGAAAGCAAAACTTGCTAGAGTACCCCCTTTGTTAAGGAAAAATGTTATAGAGAGAACCACCACACCCAAGTGTATTTTGCATACACAAAGAAGCATTTTGTCGTTCCTTCTTTCTGTTGTTCTCTCTCTCTCTCTCTCTCTCTTTCTCTCTCTCTCTCTCTCTTTTTGTCTCTCAAAAGGCCCTTGCTCTCTCCCTCTCAGTCTCTCTTACCTATTTAGAAAAAGAAACCCTACTAAGGATACATTCCCTCCTTAGTTCTTGTTCCCAAACAGCTCAATCTAAGAAATACCAAGAATCTCTTTTCAAACAAAGAAAACACCACTTAAATGCAATAAAAATAACAAGGTGATTTTTTATCACCCACACAACATTATAGGCTTCTAATTTATAGATGGTTGTAAATTCTATCATTTTATCTTAATTTATCATATGTTTTTTTTACTATTTATACTTTATTTTTTCAATTTTAAAGCTTGAACCTTGCTACACCTTGAGGGATACACCTTATGTTTTTTATCATCTACCCTTACATCAGTAAGTAAAAGGCCCTTGCTGTATTGTTTTCTTAAGATCTGTATCAATAAAAGGCCCTTACACCTTACGCTTTGCTATTTTATAAACTAAAAGAACAAATAATCTATCAAATATAAATTTATATCAAAAAATGATTTTTAACCTCAAGAAATATGTACAAATAAAATATTAATAATAAAATAATTATTTAGTTCTTAAAATTTATAAATTTGCACATGACATGTATCTTAAAAATTTTATAAATTTTTAATTTGTATTAAATAACAGTCTATTTATTATTTACAAATTATTTGAGAGTATAATATAAATGAATCTACATTTTATATAAAAAATGATAATTTAAATAAACAAAAATATTAATAATTGAATAATTATTTTAGTAATTAAAAATTATGAATTTACGTATGATATGTATCTTCAAAGTTTTAATAGATTTGATATATTTTAAGATTATATATTTTTGTAATTTATTAATTGATATTTTAATTCACATTTTATAATAACATAATTATTGTTTACAAAAATAAAAATATTATTTACCAAACATTTGAGAATTAAAATTTTAATTGACCTTTTTTTGTTAAAGTTAAAAATTAAAAAAAATAAATATAAAATAATTAATATAATAATTCAAATATAATAGTTGCATATGTTTTTTTTTTTGCCTTGGACTTTAATAGAAAATAAAATAATAATGGCTATGTATGTATTAATTTGTAAAAATTTATATAATATATGTCTTGGACTCTTGATTATTGTATTTTCAATAAAGTTGTATGATATCTATGCATTATAGTATAATAATTGTAATGTATTTTTTCATATATACTATAAAAATATACACTTCCTATGCATTTATATATTATTTGTGATTATTTTGACATTAAACTTAGTGGTACTAATATACTTATGGAATTTGGATACATTTTCATAACATATCCAACGATTCCATATTTTTCATTCGTATCCATGTGTTTTCAAAGCATATCTGTATTCAAAATGTCCGATACATATTTGATACATACTAATACTTTAATTCTTGAAGATACCTACCTAACATTCCATATCTTTATAATTAAAAGGAAAAATTTCCAATTAGTACCTTGTACTTTGGGCCTAGTAACACTTTGGTCCCAAAACTTTAAAATGCGACAATTCAGTACATGAACTTTCAAAACGTGTCAATTCCAGTACCTACCATAAACCAGCTATTAAATGCCTTTAAGAAAGACACAAATGCTCTTCGAGTGTCATCTAATTTTCTTTATCAACTATCCAAACTTTGACAAAAAATCAATAGTCCTAAATCATTTATTCTTTTATTTAAGAAAGTTGGGGTCCAGAATAACCACTGAGACGTGACCCCAACTTTCTTGAATAGAAAACGTAAGGATTTGGGATTATTAATTTTTTTGTCAACGTTTGGATGGTCGATAAAGAAAATTAGATGATTTTCAAAAGGTATTTGTGTATTTTTCAAATGCCACTTAATGGCTAGTTAACAGTAGGTATTGAATTGACACGTTTTGAAAGTTCGGATTGTTGCATTTTAAAATTGGGGTTTTTATAGTTCAGTCCACCTTATGGTGGAGCTAAAATTTCTAGGGGTGGACTGAATCTGCCCTTGAATTGATGCCAAATTAACGGGCAGGATGCAGTTTATAGGGGCTGCAATTTCAGATTTCTGAAGTGGATTTTCCCTTTAAAATTCGATTGTTCAGGAACGGCCAATTAAATTCGACTCTTGATTAGGAGGGGGCTAATCAAGAATTTTCCCTACTTAAAACACAATTCCCACACCAGATTTCTCATATTGCTTTCCAATCTCTTCAGAATTTTGTGATTTTTTTTATTTTTTAAAAGTAAAAAAAAAATTAAATATGGTGCTCGCTCACAGCCAATTAAATTCGATCACAATGCCATACTTTTAACATCAGGCCGTGGATCGCACGGGTCTCTTCAGTAGTTCATAGGATGGGAGGGACGAGGGTATATTCGTCACTGTAAATGGTTTTCTTGTAAATTTACAAACATTTGCAGGGAAAAAAAATATTGCTACATAAATTTCGAGGACGACAAAGAAGTGAAGAACAGTCATTGCTCTGTTTTAGTTGGAAGAACACAAAGAAAACGTGCAAGCAGACGAGCGAGCAGCGGACAGAGAGATGGTTAACTCTATCGTGAATACGTACCCTCTGTCGAGCTACACCTTCGGAACGAAGGAGCCGAAGATGGAGAAAGACACTTCAGTCGCGGATCGTCTCGCTCGAATGAAAGTCAAGTAAGTATGTGTTCTAACGCGACACATAACAAAGCGCAGAACATAAAAACCCTAAATCTTGAATCTTACTTATCAGCCATATTTCCCTTCTTCGTTCCTCTTCGTCTAAAACGAAATCTAGGTGCTAACTCCTGCGCGAGGTTTTATGTCTCACTGTGCCTCTTTTGTTGCACATTCTCCAAGTCTTCAGCTTTCTCGTATAATGTTCGACCCAGTTTCTATTCTGAGGATTATGTTGGTTTAATTTGATATTTGATCCGAGCAAACTGGCAGAAAAGGTGAAAGGGGGAAAAAGAAAATGAACTTCACTGGATGGCAAACAGAACCTTCCTTTTATCGCTCTCGTGAAAAGTTGTATAATTTAGGCACATCATTCGGTTCAATTTTCTGCTCATTTTATGGACGCTGGTTCTTTCTGTGATGCTTTCATCATTTAGGTTACAGCTTCAGTTAGATTCGCATAATAGTGCAATGTAAGCATGTAGCTCAGAAGCATTGGTGGATATTGTTTTTATTGGGCGGTCTTTCCATTTAAATGATACCCGATGTTCATGTTTGAGATTATTTATGATTTTCATACCCGTGTTCAATGATTAATTAATTTTGTTAGTGGTGAATGATGAGTTATCTCATGTTTATATGCTTACCAAGGAGATGGATTGTTGATCTGATTTAATTTTACAGTTGGTATTACAAGGAATCGAGAGATTTAGATTTGGGATAAAATGTACCCAGTTATCCATATAATGGAACAAATATGATGCTTGTTAAGGGCTTATTGGATGAATGCTAAGACAAGTTCACTGGATTGTGTTGCTTGTGGCTTAGTTTGAATGATAACTGTCTGCTCTATTTGTAATATCATATCTTGAGCATTTCACTGAGCAGTTTTATCGATTCTTATTTGCAGCTATATGAAGGAAGGTATGCGGACAAGTGTTGAAGCGATCCTGCTGGTAGGTGCAAACAATCTTACCCAGTTCTGCATCTTTGTGTGTGTAACAAATCCGGACATTTTATTACAATAAGAGCTAGCCTAAGTTGCTAGTTTCCCTAAATATACATGTTACCAATGCAATTCCCTATCCTCTTGGCATTTTTAGAAGTTCTCTTTTCTTCCTTTGTTTGTTTATTTAATTTATTTACTTGTTCTTGAGCATTTTAAATAATCCCCGAGTGGCCCTTTTGAGACTTTGGGGCTGTTTGTTTCCTCTTAACTCTTCTCTCTTAAGAGGAATCTTTTAACTTTAAGAGAAAAATGGTTGCTCGTTTCCTCTTATCTCTTATCTCTTAAAGTGAAATGATACAATTTTTTGTTTTCCAATGATACCCCAAAAAAAGACAAATAAAAATTGTCACATATGGGGTCAAAATGGATATTTGATAATTTTTAGAATTCAGAATTCAAAACAACATTCTCTGCGTTTAGGGTTCAGAGGAAAGAAAGTTCACCAATACCAATATGCCTCTTAATGTAACTATTGCACTTTCAGATGTCAAACTTCAGAGCAAACAAATAGACCCTTCTACTCCATTCAATTATGTACGAAGAATCCCCTTTACCAAAGAATAGAGCCTCCTTGAGATAGCACTCCTTAGGCCAAATAAAAGGAGCATCGTCTCCAATTTGGAATCTGCTGCTTCAACAGCACTGCTAAAGACCAAAATTGTATTCTCTTCTCTATTAGACAAGATCCCCTATGTTCTTCCACAAGGAGTTGGAGAAGACCTCAATACCCTACTTTTTATTCAAAATAGGTAGGTTCTGCCAAGTTTCATCATGGTTAATGCTTCTGAGTTATTCTTGTACTAATAAGATGGAGAAAGTAGATTCTGCTGCTTCTGCCAAGTTTTGTCATTCCTTTGATCTGATAGGATGGAAAAATCCTTAGATTTTGCAGTAGTAGTAATGGTTAATTGATCCTTGTACTCAAGAACAGCCTTTGAAGCTGGGGTTCCACAACATTGAGGCTCCATTCATGGAATAAAACTCATGAATGGATCTTCCAACTTTAGCCAAAGCCCAGTAAAGCCTAGGGAAAGGTAACAAAAATTTCCAACTGCAAACGAGTTATCTTTCCAGGAATAAATATTTCAGTCTTCCCCAACTCTGAATATTGCAAGGGGGCATATTCTTTGACTTTATGCTCAGCTTATTCTTGTGAGTTCTATTGCTTGATATTTGGTTTTCTTTAGAGGGTTGACTTTTTTGTCTAAATTCTCAAGGCTATGCCCCAGATAATATTTGCTCCCTTTTTGCTTTACCTTGGTGGCTCTTTAGCATGTCCTTTTTGGAGTACACTCTGGTATGGGAAAGATATTTTGTGAAAGGGTGATTGAACAACGACTAAGACATGTGACTAGTATATTAGAAAACTAATTTGAATTCATGCTGGGGAGATCAGCTATGGAAGCTATCTTTGTTTATTGGTATATGAATGTTATCATTTTACTTGAGAGATTAATGGAAATGTTTACAAAATAGAGGACAGATCTCTACTTGGTATTTATTGACTTGGTAAAAGCATATAATAAGGTCCCTAGAGAAGTTATCTGGGAGGCTTTGGGAAAAAAAGAGGCTTTGTGTAGGTATATTGATGTCATTAGGGATACATATGAAGGAATGGTAACCGGTGTTAGAACTCAAAAAGTAGATATGAGAATTTCCAATCACAACGGGTTACTCTAAAGGTTATTACTTATTTTGTAACTTTTTGCATTATTGTGGATGAACTAATTAGACATTTATTGGAGGAAGTCCCATGGTATATGTTGTTTGCTGATGATATAGTTTTGGTTGATAAGACTAAAGGTGGGTTGAATGAAAAACTATAAGAATGGGGAGATGCTTTTTTCTTTAGAATCAAAATGCTCCAAGATAAATCTGACTAAGACATAATTCATATTTTGCAATTTTAATAAAAATATCAGTAGAATCAAAATGTTCCAAACTAAGCACTTTTAGTACTTTCGATGGATCATTCATAATGGGGACTTTTTTTTTTTATTTCTATTCATAATGGGGACATTAAAGAGGACATTGCCCATAGAATTAAAATAGGGTGGTCGAAATAGAGAGGTGCATCTGGTTTTCTGTGTAACCAGCATATACCAATGAGACTGAAAGGAAAATTCTATGAGACAGTAATAAGTTCAGCAATGCTATAAGTGTTGGGCAATCAAGAAACAATATGTTTATAAAAATGAGTTTAGCTGAGATGGACGAATGGCAATACTAGAAAGGACTGAATAAAAATTAGCACATCAGAGAGGACTTAAGAGTCGCTCTAATTAGTGACAAGATGAGGAAAAGTTGACTGAGAAAGTTGTCATGTGTATAGACAACCAATGCTGCATCAATGGTGAATGAATTGATTCAAGTAAAAGGTTCTAAAAGACCTAGGGGGAGACCAAAATGGTATATAGTGGTAAAAAAAATTGCTTGATAAAGGCATTGTGTAATGTTGGTCCTACTGAACTTGGGAGGTGTAGACCGGATATGGACCTAAACTTTCAGCATTTTTTCATGGGCAATTGGGCTCAAATGATCATCCTCAGAATTATAATTTGACAGAAAATGTTGCTCTTTAAAGGTTCCTGTCAGGTTGAGTTTTTTCAGGGAGGGAGGGATGAGTATTGGTGCAGTTGTTGGATTTTCTTGGTGATTTTTCATCACCATTCTTGTACCCTTTTAATAAATTTTATCTTTACTATCAAAAAAGAAAAAAAAAATGAAACCCTAGCTCTTGATAGAACAGGATTCATGTTCTCAGCTCCAAATGGTTGGAATTAAGGCCAAGTTGGATAATCTAACATGGGAAGGAAATCTATTTGGATTCGGGATAACATGCTTCAAACCTGATGCAGCATTCTTTCTTCTGAATTTGCGATTGGTAATGCAAAGCAAATGTCCATGGTAATGGTTTATGATATCTTCTAATAATTTTCATGTGCTTTTCCTTAAGGATACAGAAAAGTTTTGCTTGAAATCCATGATGATGACAGATTTCAATTTAAACCCATAAAGAAGACATCCATCAAATTCTACACTTATGTATTGTATCCTTGATTGTGTCTATCATTTTTTTGAAGATGCTGATTATCTCTCTATCATGGGGAAGAAACACATCAGGATGCTATTTTGATTGGTAAAACATGTCATGGTTCATGAGAAAATATTGCAAAAGTTTTTGGGATTGGGATTTGGTGCCATGCAAATCACCCTGGTGGTATTTGTTTATGATATCTTCTAAATCATTTACTTCATGTTCTCTTTAAGAGAAGAGAGTTTTAGTTGCTTTTGTAGGTGAGTTCAATGTCAAACTTATCGGGTCTTGGCTTGAGTTGGCATGGTTTAACTTGATGCAATGAGGCAGACTCATAGTCAGCTCCACCCTGAACAGTCTAAATATTCACAATCCTTGTATTAGGTTGTTGTCATGCCAGATTTAATTGCTTGCTTGTTAAAGACATACCATTCTTTGATTCAACTCTCCTTCCCTGCAGACCCTTGCTTAGGGAGCATATTTGACAAACAGGGCCCAGTCTCCTCTTGCGCTTCCATCAGATCTCATGGAAAAGTCTTGGTTACATTGGAAAACCTAAAGTGTTGGATGAAGCTCCTCAGAAGGTTAAAAAAATTTAACTGTTTATGCAATTCCTTTTTCTGAAATTTTGTATGTAATCCCATCACCATTTCTGAAAAACAATGCTTACACATGCCAAGTGTAGTTTGTTGCAAATCTGAAAATAATTTCATGATAGATTTGATTACCGACTTTTCCTTGAATGGCAACTGTTCTGCTCTAGTGCAGTACTACTTCCTTTATAACAGGGTAACCCACATCATGTCAAGGGAGATGTCCTGGATGAGTCACCGTCCATTTCAATTTATCAAATGGTGAATCTGGATTGTTCATTACTTCTCAAAAAAAAAAATCTGGATTGTTTGTTGTAACTGGAACCTGTTTTCTGTCTACAATCGTATAACATCCCTGCCATTGTCTTCAATATCCCCTTGGAGCAAATTGATTGAAGGATATTTCATATCTTGTGTGCTGCTGAGTCTGAGTGCTACCCCTAAGTATTGCCAGTTTCATCGTAAACATGCCAACCAAGTATCAGAGTTCCTTAACAAGATCGCCTCTATTATATAATGATTCCTTTCAGCTTGGACCAAATCATTACCTTATTTTATACAGGTATTGTTATTCCTTCTTGTAGCTGAGAAACATGGTTTTGAATTTACAGGTACAGGAGCATAATCATCCTCACATATTGCTACTGCAAATTGGGAACACCTTCTGCAAACTTCCTGGTGGTCGTTTGAAGCCTGGAGAGAATGGTATTGCCCCTATGCCCCAAGTGACAATGCCTCGTGTCAATTCTTGTATCTCTGCTTCTCTGACTATCTATATTATTTGCAACATTTGTAGAAATTGAGGGCTTGAAGAGAAAATTGTCTAGCAAACTTGCTGCTAATTCTCCTGCTCTCCAGCCAGATTGGCAGGTTTGTTTCTTATGTTTTTTTAAGTTTCAAAATTGGTCTCATATCTTATTTCTGATGCCATTGTTTCTATTTCAGTTGCACGTGTGATGTGGTGATGTCTGAAAATATCTACATTTGTGACTCAATAATAAAATGGCCATGAGAAAACTATATATCATGCATGGTGCTTGCTATTGCCAAGAATGCCACTATGCAACTTCAGTTCAACCTGACCTGACAAAGCCTTGTTTAACTGTTTGTGTTGGCTGTATGAAACTATGAATCCATTCTTGTCACTCCACTCTATTAAGTCTAAATTCCCTGTTAAATTGTTTTCTGATCAGTAGTCTCTGTTAAATTGAGCCCATAGATCTTTTCTACTACCTCAACCCTCATCCTTATCAGTGTTACATGCAACTTAAATGGGCAGTAGGTGGCATGGAAATTGCCTGACTGTTTTGTTCTATATTTCATCATTGTATTACCTATTGGGGCTATCCCTAAGTTGCAAAGGGTCCATTCATTAATATCCTCATATTTGCAACTTTCATACTATGAATGCCTTGCTCTCTGAAATGATGAAAATCTGTAAGCAAAACTTGCTCTGTTGATGTCTATTGGAATGCCAAAGGGTACATGTAGGGTTCATTGATTACTCTGTGGATGACATAATAAATAATTGCATCTTATTGCAGATTGGAGAGTGTGTAGCTATATGGTGGAGGCCAAACTTTGAAACTATTATGTATCCATATTGTCCTCCTCATATCACAAAACCCAAGGTAAATGTTGTGTTAGGCTCAACTTCTTTTTTTTTAATATATCTTGGGAACTTTGGACTTTGCTGAGCCAATGGATTTGTTGTTCTAGGAATGTAAGAAGCTTTTCCTTGTTCACTTGTCTGAAAGGGAGTACTTTGCTGTGCCAAAAAACCTGAAACTGCTCGCAGTCCCATTATTTGAGCTATATGATAATGTTCAGGTATGTGATGGCAAAACTATATTTGTTTTTTCCTATGCAACTTCGTCATGGACTTGGTAGTCAATGAGGACATGCATATCAGAGATGTTTGACAACGGGTGTTGCTTTAGGAATGTATTCCACTATGATACAAACATATTAATCCATAAGGCTCTGTTTCCAGTACCTGATGCAAACTTTCTCATTTGTACTCATTAAAGTGCAAATTTTGGATCCCAAAAACTGATGTAAAATTTGCACCACTTTTCTCCAACCTTAGTTCTTTCATATAAAGAGGGGGCCACTTCATCTTGCTTCCTATTTCACTCTGAATCAAATAACCCTTCTCTTATCTCCATTCTTTATCATAGAAGGTGGGGACCGTATCATTTTACTTTTAGGGCCCGCTCATTTGTCAGTAGGAKGGGGGGGGGGGGGGGAGTTGGTCAATGTGGAAGTGTAGGGCCCATGAAAAGTGAACTTTTCCTCTGGTAAATTTTTGTTCCACTTTCCAGAGTAAGTGTTACCCTTCTTCTAGGTGGGTAAATCATTTACCGGTGGAGGAAAATTGGTCAAACTATTATGGGACTAAAATGCCTCTGCCAGCCCACAAAAGTTGGGGCTGTTTTGGGAAATTGACTCGTTTGCCTGGCTAACATTTCCTGGCAAAATAACATAGGTAAATGCATTTACCCGGGGAAATGTTACCCAAATACTTCCTCGGGTAGATAACTTCCCAGCAAACAAATGAGGCCTTACAAGCAAATAAGACAAAATCAAATCTGAAGCAAAAGTAAATTAGAATTTACCCAGCCTATTTGCACTCCATGCATTTTCACCAGTGCAAACGAAATTTGCACTGCAAACAAATTGAGCCTAAGGAGCTAATGATCGAAACCTATTAATGCTTGGAAGATTAGTTTAGAAGCAGAATTGCAATTTTTTTTTTTTTTCTATTGAATGATAGAATGGTGAGATGTGTGGCATATTGGAGGTTATAACCTCATATTTCTAAAAACGTACAGATGTCAACTTTGAAGGGTATATGTGTCCTATTCATAAAATAGGGTATATGTGCCCTAAACTCTTATGGTATCATCATGCGATAGTGTTTTTGATTAGTAGATCCCTTATGAAGGCAATTCAGTTATTCAGTTTTTGTTACCATAACACATTGTGGTAGCTTTCTGTACTGAACTTAAACCTATGTTCTTTTGGAAACACTCAAACTTCATTCCAATGCCAATAAGACACATCTTTTGTACCATGTTGCAGAGATATGGGCCAGTTATCTCTACCATTCCACAGCAGCTGTCGAGATTCCAGTTTAATATGATCAATGCTTGAAATGCAGTATACACAAGACAATTGAAGAGATTCTAAGGTAGGTTTTATAATTACCTATTATAGAGGGATTCCAAGTGTCTACACATCAAACCTAAGGCTAATGCATGTTAACCTTGTTAACTGCTTAGGCAGTGTATATTTAGTCAATTTATAAACTTGTTTTCCTTCTTGTAAACTAGTTGATCTTGTTTGTCTAATCGTCTTTATACTCGTGTAAGGACTAAGGAAGTTTGTACGATTACTTAAGTTTGAAATTTGGATAGGTTTTTTCTTTTTAATCAATGCCTGAATCTCCCATGGGGCCATCAGTTTTTCTATGGACAGTACAAAATCACATCAATAACCCGTTTGGTCATTACACAACTCTTTTTTTCTTTCTTCGCTGGGACAAGTCATCCAGCGTAGCAACTGGGCTACCCCTCAGTGGGTGGATAGAAAGCGTTTGGGGATTAGGAAATTTGCTGTGTGCTTGGTTTGTGAGTTAAGATGGTTCCTTTTCAAAATGTTCTCTATGTGGTGTGAGATGCGTTTGTAAGCTTACATAAAAAAGACTTGTTTATAAGCAGTACATGTAAAAGCAGAGCCATGAGTGATTGATCCAGCAGGGGTTGCACTGAAGAGAGCCCGGATCTTCTGAAAGTAAGCACACGACATCCAGCCACACATTGGGAATATCTCCCCTATATGTTAAATTCATGGAGAGGATGTTCCAAATGTGCGGTTAGATGTCTGTACAGCTGTACTTTCAGAATTCAGAGTGTTGGCTTTCAGGAGATCCCTTCTACACTGAAGAACACTTCAGAACGAGTAAGGGATGAAGATGTTATGGTTTACAAAGATATATCACAGCAAATTATTTTGCAGCGCAAAATAGAGGATTGGATAAGTTTTCCTTTTCTTTCTTTGATGATCAAACAGGGGATGGGTTTGCTAGTTCATTCATATAGAGAACATCTGAGAAGAGTTGCAACAATGTCGAAGCATACAACTAAAACTGATAATAATGGCCTTGGGCGTATTGCTGTGGCCTATGAAGACGTTACTTCATCTAATTCAAGGTGAGTTGGTGTTTGCTCCTATTTTAAAAGAGGAAACTGTCCAATTCATGGTGGATGTTGCCACCTCATAAAAAATTAAGAGTTTTCAAAAACAAGGAGGTGTCGTCCACTTGTCCTGTCATTCACTGTGAATCAGACCATTTCCTTTGTTAGCATAGGAGCAAAAGTTTTTGGGAAAATTATTGTTTGCTCCCCTTAAAAAAATTTGATTGATTGTCTGAATGTATTGTCCCAAATCCCCACGTATGCTACAATGCCCTTTCGACTTTTCAATCACTGTTTCTAATTGTACAAATTCATAAAAATTTGTGATGGAAAAATCAATAAAAGTCCAAAGAATTTTCACTGGAGCCATAGCATGATAGCAATACATCAGACAGACTTTGATTTCATTATTTTAAAGCTCTATGCTACAATATTGTCGTAGCAAAAGTGATAGGATCTGAGATTTTACAATTGGCAATTGTTCCTCTGCAGCTAGGGATGGCAAATGCGTGGGTTGGTTGGGTAAGGGTTGAATATCAATTCACCCATATTGGCCCACTAACCCACCATGACCCATCACCAATTATAGTTAGAGGGTCATAACCCATCTTAACCCTAACCCACCATGACCCACCCATATTGATCCACTTGACCCATCCATATTGACTTTTAACCACCCTTACCCATATTAACCCACCTACCCTCACTTATAGATACAAAAATGGGTCGGGATGGCCCGTATACGCCAAATAATAAATTTTGAGAGATTAATCTCTCTCAAGACTGTCACGTGACAAAAACGAGTCAAGTCAACCTATATACCCGAAAATTCAAAAGTTGTAGATAAATGCAGAAAATTGAAAAAAAAATTATAGAAGATGCTAAAAAATACCAAAAATTGTAGAAAAATACAAAAAAATTACCAAAAATTATGAAGAATACTAAAAAAATTTAGAAAATCCAGAACTTTTGCAGAAAAATCAGAAAATATGCAAAAAAAAAAAAATTGTAGGGAATGCATGAAAACACCAAAAAAATGCAAAAATTATGGAAAAAAGCACAAAAAAATTGTAGAAAATGCAGAAAAATACCAGAAAATTTTAGAAATTGTAGAAAATACCAAAAAATTGCAAAAATGCAGAGAATTACAGAAAATGCAAAATAATGCATAACTTTTATAAAAGTTCTTTCACAAAAGTACTTTATGAAAGTACTTCTATAAAAGTGCTTTCATAAAAGTACTTTCATAAAAACACTTTTATAAAATGCTTTATGCGTTCATAAAAGTGCTTTCATAAAAGTACTTTTATAAAAGTGCTTTTATGCTTTTATAAAAGTGTTTCCGTAAAAGTGTTTTTGTGTAAAAGTGCTTTCATAAAATTGTTTTCATAAAAGCACTTTTATAAAAGTACTTTTATGAAATAAAAGTGCTTTTATGTAAAAGTACTCTTATAAAAGTGTTTTTATGTAAAAGTACTTTTACAAAAGTACTTTTGTAAATATACTTTTATGCTTTCATAAAAGTGTTTTTGTAAAAGTGCTTTCATAAAAGTATTTTTTATAAAAGTACTTTTATGCTTTCATAAAAGTGTTTTCGTAAAAGTACTTTCATAAAGTGCTTTTGTAAAAGTACTTTTATAAATGAACTTTCGTGTAAAAGTGCTTTCATAAAATTACTTTATAAAATTGCTTTTGTATAAAATTGCATGTGAACACGAAATTATGTAAATCTATTTTATTTCACTTTTATTCACAATAGTGGTTTGGAATTGTTATGAGATATTAAAATTAAGTCTTAGGTTTGAATCTTTACAACTTTTGTTTTTTGAGATTTGGTGAATATAGATAGAGCGACCCAACTCATCTTGACCCGTGCGATCCAACCCATCTTGACCCTAATGGGTACCCTCGACCCAGCCCACCCTAACCCTTTTCTGCTGACCCTAATGGGTTGCTCGACCCATATTGACCCACCAATAGATTGGGTGAGTATGAGTGGGTCAAATGGGTTGGGGTCAAGATTGCCAGCCCTATCTGCAGCTACTAAAAGCCCAAGTCTCTCATTTCTATTCTTTTGCCGTATGTCTAAATTAAGCCATGATGTTGTCGCTAACTCAGAGAGAAAAAGATAGGGGGTGCTATTATCAGGTGTTGAATCATGAGGCTCCTTTAATAATCCTGGTGTAAGTGCAACTTCATTACTGGTTTTCTCTCCTTCGTTTGCAAAAAATGGAAAACATATTTTTCGCCTTCAGCCTTACTCCACCATATGGAGCTTTTGCATAAATAAACATTATTGGTTTGGGATGCCTTTTTTAATTAATTTCCAAAGGATAACGGAAGAAAAGTGTAATACTGTAATATCATGTTAGAGGTTGCGCTATTTCAGCCAATTGTTGCTCAAGTTGAACAATGGAAAACTTGATATTGGTCGCTAGGATTGTTTTTTGATGCATAGTGTTAAGGGTATAATCAAGCCGAGCCAAGTTGAACTTTGGCATGTCTTAGCTAAGTTTGACTAAAATGCTATCATGCTTGAGTTCAAGTTTGATTTTGGCTCAAAAATTAAAAAAAAAATATTATACATTTGTATTTGTAAGTTCAAATAATTATCAAACATATTCTGAGATTCTAGCTTAATTAGAATCATGGTTGAAAAGAGGGGGGGGGGGTGTTAAAGCTCGATTCAATTGTGCCCCTATAAGGGTTTAGAGATATATAGGGTCCTTAAAATCTGAGCAGGGTGTTAGGAGAACTTCAAGGGGAAAGGGGTGCCAGGGTGTTGATGGTGATTAGAAGCATCTATTGTAACTGTTTTCTCCAGGTGGGCTAAAGATTTGGTGGTTAATTAGTGTGTTAGTTGATTGGGTTTTTTTTTAGGAAAAATTACAGGAAACTATTGTGTGCTTTGGGGGTAGTAACACTTAAGGGTCTAGTCGTCCAGACTTTTACTTGTGATAAAAGAGTCGGATCTCCTGCACTCAAATTCACATGGGCACCCCGCTCCCATGTGTGGAGGAATATCAAAGGATAAAGCTTTCATTAATTAATATTTTTATTTTTAAAACTTAAAAAGAAGTTAAATGAAAAAAATAGAGAAAACCTAAGCCTTTAAAGCCATGTTTGATTTCACTTTGAAAAAGTATTTTTTTTAAGACATGGGACCACACATTAAGTGGTTTTAAAGTACTTATAGGTGCTTGGTAAAAAAGTGGGGAAACACTTATTGTTAAAAGAAGCACTTCTTAGAAAAGTGACCTAGATGTGGCTTTTTTTTTTCAACACTTTTTTGAAGAAGTGCTTCATTCGAAGGGATGAACCTGTCCCTATTTTTTTAATGACTAAAATACCCCCGCATGAGGTTATCATCCTCTTCCTCCTCCATTCGGAACCCTACAACATACCAAGTAGTGATGGGGTCAATTGTAGGTCCACTGGCGACATTCGATGTTGAACAAAAAATGGCTGGTAGACCTGTCGTTTTTCTCTTATCTTTATTTTTTTTGTAGTATTCCACTGATTTGATGCTATATTTTTTTCGTTTTTCTGAAGTCTAAAACTCCCCTTTTCTCTCTGGTTGTAGATCTATGTTTGAGCGCCTTCAACAGCGATATCCCACTGCCCAGCCGCCATCAACTAGAAGGTGAGTTCGCCCAAACTCCTCCCCTCTATGTTTGGTTTTTTTTTTGGGTTTTTTTTGGATGATTATTTCTTTGATTTGATTTTTTTTTTGTGTTCATATGAGAAATCCAAAATTCTTTTGGGCATTTTTTGTTAGAAATCATGCAAAAAATTTGCTTAAGTTGGATGAATATTTGTGTGAATATATTCTTTAATTGTGATTGAATTTTTTTTCTTTATTTGACTTGAATATTTATGAATATTTGTGTGAATATATTCTTGAAGTGTGAATATTTGTGAATTTTTTTTCATGAATTTTTGTGGGTGATGTTTTTAATTTTTTTTGATAACCTAAATTTTCTTTTTTCGAATAATCTGAATTTAGTCATCCTATTTTTTTTTTTTAATTTGATAATGATGTTTGTTTTTTTGTTAAAGTGCTTTCTGGAAGTAGTTTATAAAAACTGCTCCATAAAAGCACTTTTTGGAAGTATTTTGTGAAAATAGGTCATTAAAAGCACTTTTCTAGAAGTAATTTATGAAAATTGCTCCCTAAAAGCACTTTTGGGAAGTATTTTGTGAAAACTATGCCTTAAAAATGCTTTTTGAAAGTAATTTGTAAAAATTGGTCCTTAAAAGTGCTTTCTGAAAGTAATTTGTGAAAATTGCTCTCTAAAAGCACTTTTAGGAAGTATTTTGTGAAAATTGTGCCTTAAAAGCGCTTTTTGGAAGGAATTTGTGAAAGTTGGCCCTTAAAAGTGCTTTCTGGAAGTAATTTGTGAAAACTACTCTCTAAAAGCACTTTATGGAAGTATTTTGTAAAAACTGGTCCTTAAAAGTGCTTTTTGGAAGTAATTTGTGGAAATTCCCCCCTAAAAGCACTTTCTGAAAGTATTTTATGAAAATTGGTCCTTAAAGTGCTTTCTAGATGTAATTTGTGAAAATTGTACCATAAAAGTACTTTTTTAAAGTATGTTGTGAAAACGCCTTGAAAGTTCTTTTTGAAAGTAGTTTATAAAAAATGCTCATCAAAAGAACTTTTTAGAAGTACTATGCGAAAAATAATCATTAAAAATGCTTTCTAGAAGTATTATTATTATTATTATGGTAAATTTCTTAAACTACCCTTATGGTTTATTTAATTGATTAAGTATACCTTACTGAAAATTGACTGAAAGCTACCATTATTGTTTTTGACAATTCACTAATACTCTCTTACCGTTACCATCCGTTAATACTCTTACCATATCATCCGTTAATAGAAAGACGAAAAAGACTATTTTATCCTTTATTTTTCATCAAATTTTCAAAAAACAGAGAAAAGGGGACAATCTGTTATCCATCTCCGACAGCGCCAACGATTCAAATATGACAATTTGAATCCACCACCTTCCATATATACAAAAATCTTCAGTTACTCATGTTGAACCTGCTGCAACCGAGCGAAACCAGAAGAGGCTTTGAAAACAAGATATTTAATAAAAAAATAGAAAATGCAAAGATGGAGGAATGGACCTCATCTCCGAACACTTCCGGCGATGAAACACACAGGTCGTCTCTGCATCCTATAGCGTATCTTCCTTTCTCGCCGATGATCGTGAATCAGGGATCCCGCCGATGATTGTAAATCAGGGATAGAGATGGGTTTTAAAGGTTTCATTGAAGGAGGCATTGCCTCGATTGATGCCGTCTGTTCCACCCGCCCACTTGACCTCATCAAGGTTCGGATGCATCTGCAAGGTGAAACCCACGTCCCAAGTCCAGCCATTCAAATTCTGTGCCACATGTTCGCTTTCTAACACCCCTCCGTGGCTGCTGCTGCTGCCCAAATCGCCATCCACGCGCCGCCAACACCACCACCTCCAACACTACGCGTCGGTCCCATTTCTATTGAGACTAAACCCACCATCTCTGTATTGTAGAACGAAGAGGTGAAGGGGGCGGACGAAGAAGAAGATCATCCCCGCTGCTAGAAGTTGTAGAAGTGGCGGTGATTTTGGTCGATCGAAAAATACACAAAGGAGAGGAGAAGAGGGTGGAGGCAACAGTGGTGGCAATTTTGTCGATTGAAAAATAGATAGAAAAGGGGGTGGAGGAAGAGGAAGATCACCGCTGCCGCCGGAAGTTGTAGCGGCGGCGACGATTTTAGTTGATCCAAAATCGAGAGATAAAAAGAGAGAGAACAAGCGACCGTCGGACTCCTTTGGTTCCCTCTGCTGCTGCTTCTTTTCCATTCTAGAGAGAGAATAGACGAGAGAGATGAAAAAGAGAGAACATGCGAGAGAGAGCGCGCGACTGCTACTGTGTCGTCTTAGCACAATTAACCTAAGGTGAAGGGGAAAGAGACGCTGTTTAATGGTCTATCATCTCAAATAAAAAAAATAAAATCTTGAAAAATATTTCTGGAACTGATATAGATGTTCATATGATCTGTTTCATGGGGAGACCGGAGTTGGGGGAATCTTCTTTTTCGGTGGAAGACATCGGAGGTAACTTGAAGTAGAAGACACGTTTAATTTTTGAAGGGCTGCAGCCTTAGCATTCATTTGTAATCTTTTCCACAGCTAAAAGAACAACCTTTCAGTCATGCATTGGAGCTAGAATTTGGATTTAGTACCCACAACAGGGTTCCCACAAATTATGTGGATTTAAAATCCTTTGCAATAGTGGTTTGGGGCAACCCGAGGAAAACGGCGAAAGGCATTCACAAGGTGTCTTCGGCTCGACGGCAATCGAAGATGGGAGTGGTTTGCTAGAGCGAAGATAAGAAATAATAAGGGTATTTTAGGTATTAAAAAAAATTAATCACGTGATGTCACATTTTAACAAAGTGTGACGGAAAGTTAATGACAAGGGAGTTAGACAATTGTTAAAATAGTAAGGATGTTTTAAGATAATACGTAAACAGTAAGGGTAGAGTTGGTCAATTAACTAAACCATAAGAGTAGTTTAAAAAATTTATCCTTATTATTATTATCCATGTGGTACTCTATGTGTGGGCCCACGTGGGTGATGTGATAATTTTTCATTGAAATGTATATTATTATAATGATATAGAAAACATTGTTTATACTATAAGTATGTATGGAGTAAAGGATAAAAGTATCATTTAAGCCAATATAAGCATTTATGGGGAAAGTAGGTCATCAAACATCCCCACCTAAATAAGTGTTTAAAAAACATAATAAATGATTGACAAGTGGGTCACTAAACAACCTTCAAGCTCCGTTAAAAGAAGCACTTCTAAAAAGTACTGGTGCAACAAGTACTTCTTTTCTAAACCTCCTATTCGTCAAACATAGCCTAAGGCTCTAAACGAAAATGCCATGAAAGCCTAGCGATATCCACCATTAATGATTGCAAAAGACAAGCTTAAGTCAGGGGTAGAAAATTCACTTGTTTAATTCCTTAAATCTTCATAGTGGAATTCTTGGAAATATAAATGGGGATTCAATCTTCCTCAAATCTTCTAAGGGATTCAATAACGAATCATAGGTCTTATTTTGAATAGAAGAATCAGATGGTCCAACTTCTCTTGCCATAGCCTTTGACGCCGATGGGCACCCACCAGTAAAACAGAATTGCTACAACTCTAATCAAGGAGGAGAATGGCCAAACTCTCCCTCTACTAACAGTATAAGAAATACAAATGAAGAAAATAACGTGATTGTAAGATTCCAAATGTTTCAGAATGTGCTCTGCAACCGATAGTTGAGAATCAAACGGCTATTGCTGAGATGTTGGGTCCTCTATATCAACACCATACCATGATAATGAAGGATTTGGATCAGATTTTACTTTCCCTTGGCGTTGATAACTCTACAAAGAGATAATGCAGTCCTTCGCATTTGCTTGAAGGGAAGATGATGCAATCATCGTCATATATATGAAATCTATCGAAACACCACCTTTTCCCATCCTACCAAGTAGGCCTGAACTTTAGTTCTGGATTTTAAGAGAACCTAGGTTTCATTGGAAAATGAAGAAGAATGGGGAGGTAACTGTTGAAATTGTTCCTAGTCCTTCAAACATCGAGAAATCTCACCCCGGCCCTTGTCCTCCATGTCTGAGAATACTTCTGGAGAACATCTTGTAATTCTATCTTACCCAAGAATGTCTCCTCCAATCTGTTAATGGTGGATAGCACCTTCGTTTAATGGAGTTTTCATTCGGAGTCCAAAGGCAGCAAGTCTCATAGGACTCCCTCTCTTTTTTTTTTTTTTCACTTTTGCCTTTTAATTAAATTCAAAAATAAAAATATTATAATTTAATGGGAATTTTACCATTTGCTCTATAGATGAGGTACCCATGCCATGTTTATTTCTTATCAGAAGTGCATCGCTGCCCACACCATTTCGAGTGCAGGAGATTTGACTCATGATAAAGAGCTACCATATACTTTCATATTCCAACACTTTAGTCCAATTAATTGACGATTCAGTTATGGAAAATTTACCAAATTCATTTTAGTGGTTTGATTAGGTGAGAGATTAAAATTGCAAAATGATGGAAATGGGCATTGTTAAGTTGGGTATCACTCTTCTTGCGGTGTACGATATGCATACCAAGCCTTAGAAGAAAAAACCTGGAGGAAAAAACATAGTGGCCGCTTCCGGTGGAAAAGAAGTGTCATCGGAGAGCATTCTTTTAAAGGGGTTGCAGGCAATCATGCCAAAAAATAAAAAAAAAGAAATGCGGCAGTGTTTATACTTTATACAAATTGGTGGGAGATGAGATCAAGGTGGGATGCATGCCAATAATGGAGATATGTTGCTTGCCATGCTGTGTATCGGGCTTTAACACACCGGTGTTTATACACATTGGTGAAGGTGGGTGTTCGTGTTTCATATTTTTTAAATTAAGGAGGTATTCTTTTTACAGATTTTGAGAGGGGGAAAGTTGGTCAATAGAATTTTGGTTCTCATTGACCAAGAATTCCATGTTCTTTTTTCAGATTTATGTGGAGATCAGTGAAAGTTTATTTTCTTAGGGTAAGTGATACCCACCTCCTAGGTGGGTAAATAACTTTTCCACGTAGGGGGAAGTTGCCAACACTTGAATGGGACAAAAATGCCCTCTTTTAATAATGAATTTTTATGATTAAAATGATCATTGTCTAATTTAAATGAGAAATAAAAGAAATGAGTAAATGTACTTACCCGGATAAATATATATTAAAAAAAACTTACCCAAGTAATTGCATTTACCTAAATAAGTAACTTATGGAAAAACGAATGGACCCTAAGTGTTTAGCATTTGTATTTGGTGGCCACTGTAAATGAAATAAAGGGGAATAAAGGCAAACAGAGGAGAATGCTTAACTCGTATGAAGGAGGGCACATGGACACAGCAGATCAATGGATCATTTGATTTATCAAAAAAAAAATGAAAAAGAAAAAGATCAATGAATCATTTCGAATATTCCTGTCCTCAAAGAGAACTTCCATGGAAAATGATCAAGAGTTAAATATTAACAACCCCAAGAACACTACTGCATCCAGTTCTCTTCCAAATTTTCTTGTCTTCCATTTTCTCTCTGGCATTTACAGCCTTTGGCCACTGACCCGCAGAGGCATATATGTTTGACAATAGCACGTAGACCCCTGATTCATTAGTTTTTAACTCGTCAATCCTCTCCATCACCTCTTCCGCCAGCCTGAGATCACCTTTGACTCTGCAACCTCCCAGCAGAGCACCCCAAACAGCAATATCAGGCTCAAAAGGCATGCCCTCTACTAGCAATTTAGCTTCTTCAACCTGACCATTTCGGCCAAGCAAATCAACCAAACACCCATAATGTTCGAGCTTTGGACTGATCCCCAAATCTTTCATACTAGAAAATATCTGGCGACCTTCCTCTATCAAACCCCCATGATTACAGGCAAACAAAGCACTAGTAAATGTGAACTCATTTGGCTTCAACCCTCTCCCTTGCATCATAAAGAAGATTTTAATGGCGTCTCTTGTTCTTCCGTGGATGGCTAATGATTTCATCATTACATTCCAACAGAACACGTCTTTCTCACCAAGCTTGATAAAAATCTTGAAGGCTCTGTCCACGTCTCCACATTTGGCATACATTTCTATTAGAGCTGTTCCCACTATCACTCCCAACTGACACCAATCTCTTATAAGATAAAAATGTATCCACTTTCCGAACTCCAGAGCTCCTAAGTTGGAGCAAGCTGACAGAGCAGAAACAAAAGTAAATCCATCAGGATTTACCCCTTGCAAATGCATCTCGACAAAGAGTTCCAGTGCTTCTTGGAATTTTCCATGCCTAGTGTAACTTGAAATCATGGAATTCCAAGAAATCACATTTCTGTAAGGCATTTCGAGGAAAAGTCTTTTTGCTGTTTGGAGGTCTCCCGAATTGGAAAATGCTCCCACCATTGAAGTCCAAGTCACAACATTCTTCTCCGACATCTGCATGAACAATTCATTTGCCTTCTCTACATTTCCAATTTTGGCATAACCCGAAATCATCGAGTTCCACGAAACTATGTCTCTTTCAGGCATGTTATCAAACAATTTTCTTGCAGACTCAACGTCACCAATATTTATACACCCCCATATCATACGGTTCCATATTTGGACGGGTTTGAGAAGCATATCATCAAAGACCTTCTGGGCATCACTTGGTTTTTCATTTTTCCTCACACCCAGTACGAAATAATCACAGGAACTTTCCATGTACATATAAAAATTCAGAAGCGAATTGGAAACCGCAGGAGCCCGCTCGAATCCCACCTTTATAATCTGGCAATGCATCTTCATTCCTTGGAGATGGCACCCGATTCCGATCTGTGCACACGAGTTTAAGAGGTAAGGGTACGTGTAGTTGTTAGGTTTAAGTCCTCGTTGGATCATTTGATGATGCATGGAGATGCATTTATCGTAGGGGCCATTAAAAGCGTAGCCTCTAATCATGGCATTCCAAAGAAGGAGGTCTGCAGGGAATATCTCATCCATTTGGGAGAAAAGTAGCTCGGAGTAATCCATGCCACCGAATTCGGTGCTTCGTCGGAGGGTTTTCGTTGAGATCCGGATGTCTCTGTTGAGAGAGGTGGTGGTGATGAGGGCATGGATCTGCTTCAGCTGTGTGAAGGTGCATTTCTGTAACAAATTTGAAATTCTTTGTTCCAACGAAGAGTGCATGTATCACCAATCACGAATCCATCTGATTGTTCTGATGAACTGGGCTTCCATATGATAATGGTGGTGGAGTTTACCCAAAACTTTTAGGGTAAATTACAGATAAGTACTCTGTAATTTGGGGTAGTAAAACTTAAATACCCCCGAACTTTATATAATAATATTTAGTATTTTCAGAAATAGTTAAACACTTTATAATATACTAAAAGTAACTTCAGCCACCAACTGCATCCATCTATTTTAAGTTTGATGCAAAATAACTTGACGCAACAAAAATGGCTCAACCTGGGTTTGATTCGTTTGTCACTATGTCGAATTCTCTTATGAATATGTAATCTGGACAACTTGATCAAACTTTTGAAATCTTTAATGATGCAGTACGATCTGGGCACTCCGATCTGTGACGGACGGTACCTGAGAGGAAGAGGAAGTTGAAGGATTTCCGAGGAGCTCTTCCGGCAGGAACACTTCGATGGCTAAGTTAGAATTCTGAGGAAAACTCAAGGAAAACACTGAGAGTTAAGAGTGTTGAAAGTGCTAGCTTCAATACCTTTGCTTCGTGAGGGTCGGGGTCTTCTTATACCGGAGCTCAATCACATCAGGCGTAACCGCCACTACCCTAGTTGTTACTGCCAGGACTGAGGTGGCAGGTGCAGGCTACTGCTACAGGGTACGGACTCGTCAGGCATGCCATGCTTTTCAGAGACGGTAGGCACGATGCCGCCTGGCAAGAGATGTGGGCACTACCACCAGATCCGGCAGGTACGGATGTCAGGCGGATATTCCCTACAAGCTGCTGAACTACTTTGCACCGAACCACCTGAGGCTAGGTTGCCTTGCACCGAGGTATCGAGGTATGCTGAGGTGCTCGCATTGGAAGCGAGCCTCGAGCAAGTACGACCAGGAGTTTCGACGGTTCTGCCCCGAGGTGTTTCTCCCTTGGGACACTTAGCCAAAAGCTGGGGTGCCCCCTTCTTAGGAAGGGAGAGCTCAAAGCCCCTTAGGAGGAGCTCGGGTCCCTTCGGAGGGAGCTCGAGTCCCCTTGCACG